CGGGAGTCCGGGCCCGGATCCGCGCGCCGGGACCTCGGGCAAGTTAATCCACCGCGAGGCTTCGCTGCGCTCGTCTGAAGATGGGCGAATACGCTTCTCAAATATCAAACGGGACACTAGATGCCACATGCACCAGAGTAACGCCAGACAGGCTGGGCAGGTGGGAAGGATTTGCAGTTCCTATTTCACCCAGACGACAATCCCACCGGGACTAAACCCTCCCGGGTTTGCAGGTGAGGAAAATGAAACCGAGGGAAAACAGTAGAACTCACTTGGACCCGGGTCAGTGTCTTCAAACACTGCCCACACGTGACTGTTATCAACTGAAAAAGGTCAGGCACCTTTAGCTACCAAAGTGGGAAGTGAGTCTCTGATTTCCTTTCCTCTGTGTAACGACTTTGATGTTTCATTTTGTCATTTGCCTTGGACACTTCTGTGAATGATAAAACATTAGTTTGGTGAGGCTGAATCTGGGCTTGACTCTAAGGGTCGGTGTATTTTTATATACACACATATATTTATTATTATTGTTTCAATTTATGCTTGGTTGTGATGTAAAAAGAATCATTCCGTATATATTGATCTATAACTTAAGGCACTTTAAATAGATCCTGGAGATTTTTTTCCACGTCAGTATACATTGGTGCTTTTTTTTTTTTTTTCGAGATAATGCAGGGTCTCACTATGTAGTTCAGGTTGGCCTTGAACTCATGGCAATCCTCCTGCCTCAGCCTCTCAAGGGTTGAGATCACAGGCGTGTGCCACCAGACCCAGCTCACTGGTGCTTTCTTGAATAGTGTGTTCATGTAAGCTGGAGCCATCAAGATCATCCAGCATTTTCTCCCTATGACCAGTCGCTCTTTTAGGTTCACTCAGCCAACCAGGATTCACAGAGTGCCATCTATGTGCCAGGTCGTGTCACACAGTGGGCAGAACTTTTATTGTGGAGATGGAACGCGACAGTGAGCTGTGTCTCAATGGGGGTCAGCTCAACTTTAGCTTGGTCCATTTGTTACTTCTGGAGCACAAACAATGTACAGTCAAGTAAGTGTCTCTCTCTTGGTATGAAATGATGCCCACTAGCTGTGTACCATTAGATTCATTTCCCTGAAGGATAGAAACAGGTTTTCTGAATAGACTAAGTGATATATATATATACATGTATATATATATATAAAATGAAATATATATATATATAAAATGAAATTAAATATTACTGGTTCTCAAGAAGGAAGGGAATTTTGACACACGCTACCACTTGAATGGCCCCGAGCACAGAATGGGAAACAACCAGTCACAAGTATTATATTATTTCACTTAGAAGCTATCTAAAGAAGCCAAATTCATAGAAACAAAAGAAGTGGTTGTCAGGGTCGAGAGGAAGGGAAAAGGGAAGTTGTTTAATGTGTATGGAATTTCAGGATTTTGCTGTTTATTCATAGCTCAGGATCCAACCCAGGGCCTCACACATGTGTTCTACCTCTGAGCTGCACTCCAGCTCCTAGAGCTTCTGATTTGCCGGATGCAAAGTCCTGTAAATACACTGCACAATAATGTGGATGGGCTTGTTGTTTTTTGTTTTGTTTTGGTGCGATTGCAAACTAGTGCCACCACACCCAGCTTTCTTTTTTTGTGTTCAGTTGTGTTAAAATATTCTTGACATGGAATCTGTCATCCTAGCTGGCCGAGGTAGTGTACACCTGTAATCACACAGCAGTAATCTACACAGCAGTCTGAGAGGCTGAGACGGTAGAGTTGTAAGCTTGAGCTCATCCTGGGCAGTTTAGCAGTTTAGCAAGACCTTATCTCAAGATAAACAGAAGGAAGAACCAAGGAAGGAATAAAGAAAAAGAAAGAAAGAAAGATTGAAGATAGAGCTCAGTGTGAAGTCCAGGGGTTCAATTCCTAGGATGGGGATAAAAAAAAGCAAACAAGATTCTCATACAAACTCTTTTGTAAGCAGATTTATCCTGCACTTTGAATCTGGTGGTTGAATCTGCTTTCTGCTGGGGCTTAATGCTTGCTGGAATCCACCAGTTTTCCCAGGGTGTGTATGAGGGGCGTGGCAAGAGAGTCCTGCTGAGTTTCTTGGGCTTGACTTGGCACCAGAGTTTTCTCCAGGTTTCCTTGCTTGGAGCAGAGCTGCTTTTCCTTGCTCTCCATAAATGTTGGCATTTCTATATCTTTGGGGATGAGGTTCTTTGGTTATCTGTAGAGCAAAACTCTGAGACTCTTTCAAAGTGCCACACTAGTTCCAAGCAGGGAGAAGCAATCCTTTTGCTGGTCACAGAGAAGCTGCGTTCTTCCTCAGCTTGGGAGCATGAGGACAGCAGCGTCCTGGCATCCTGCTCTTTCCTTGCTGCCTCAGAGCTGGGTTGGCAGCCCCAGCTGAAGGCAGAGTGGTCCTGGGCCTCTTGCTGGTTCTGGATCTGCTCAAACAGCGTAGGGCCAGGTGGGCATCACACAGGTGGGGGCTGTGCTCAGTAATTTGAATGGCAGAGTTAACCTGATGAATTCCCTTCTTTATTCTCCCACTTCTCCTCCAACTGTGCGCGGCTAGGGTGTGGAATTTCCTCCCTGGCAGACTCAAAGCCTGTTAGGCTGAAGGACCAGAGGCAACTGAAATTCTTCCCTTGACTAATTGTGAATCTCTCTCTCTCTCTCTCTCTCTCTCTCTCTCTCTCTCTGTGTGTGTGTGTGTGTGTGTGTGTGTGTGTGTGAGACTAGGTAAACCCAGGGCTTGCTCTCTGAGCTACTTCCCCAGCCCTGTTTATTTTGAGAGTCTCCCTAACTGATGAGGCTGTTTGAACTTTTGATCCTCTATCCTCAGCCTTGCACAATCCACAGCGCTGAGATTATAGGCACAATAAAAAAATATGGTTATTTTTTTTTTTTTTTTTACTTTGAGGGCCTTTGTCCTTTTGAACTTGAGCAGAACACCCAGCCCAGAGAAGGAAATTTCTCTTAGTCAGAAACTTGAATTTTCCGTAGCACACCTTGGAGGAAACACATTTCCCCTTGGCTTCTTTTTCTCCATGCCCTATATTCAGGTTTCAGATTCGCTTTCTCTTCCCTCGTATCGGGGTCTGTTGGTGTCTGGACCAGGAGAAGCCACTCAAATTTTCCTTGCAAGCTAAAGAGAATTCTGGTTATGTGAAGCTTTTTGCTTGTGATTAGAAGATTATAGCCTACACATCAGTTGCCGCATTGGGGATGCATATCATGTTTGATTCTTTTTCTCTAAATTCACTCAGTTGAGATAAAAAGAACAAGGATATGGGAGCGATAAATTCTCTGGAAATATTAAAAGGGAGAAGAGAAGGATAATGAGAGGAAGCCAGAGTTGCTGGTCACAGTTCTAGTGGGGGCTGCGTGCGCTCCCAGCCTCCCAAAAGTTCCTAAGCGTTTGTTGTCTGTAAAGGGGAATAGTCACCATGTTTCGGCTACTTCTTTCTAGGAGTTAGGACGGTGCCTTGAGTCACAGATTCGGTTGGGGATCTGATGAAGGCCATGCCAACCTGGCTTGGTAAGAGGGACGTTGGTGAGTGGGTTACAGAGCTCTGTCTTCTGACCCTCAGCCCGGCCTGGTGTTGGAAGTGTGTTTCCGCTCCCCTCCGCTCCGCTCCCTTCTTCCCGTCCTCCCTTCCTGTCTGCTTTCCTCACTCCCCGCCTTCCTTCACTTCTTCCTTTCTTCCTTCCACTTGTTAAAGGAAATGAAGATAATATAGATTCTTTCTGGAAACTGAATATTGGTTGAGATATAAAATATTCCCCCAAAGGCTCACACACACACACACACACACACACACACACACACACACACAGAGTTTGGGCTTTCGGAGGTGCTTGGATTTCAGGGACTCTAGAATTCCCAGTGGATTAACCCACCGATGAGTTCATAGATTAGTCTGCTGAAAGGAGGAAGGGCTTTATCAGAGGAGACAGGTCACTGGGGACATGATCTGGTAGGGCGTATTCTTTTTTTTTTTTTTAGCCCAGGCTGGCCTTGAACTTGAACTTGCAGTAATCATCCTGCCTCAACCTCCCAAGTGATAGAACTACAGGTGTGTGCCCACCACGCCCAACTACCATGGTTTTTAAACATTTTTCATTCCCCAAAGGAATCCCACTAAGGAGCTGTCATCCTTGAGTCTTCTCCACCTATACTAATCTACTTTTTGTCCCTACAGATTTACCTATTTAGCTGTTTTATATAGGATAATGTATATAGCTATGGTCCTGGTGACTGGTTTATTTTACTTAGCATGATATCTTCAAGGCTCATTCACATTGCAGCATATTCGGATGCTTTATTTCTTTGAATTGTTCAATCATATTTAATTGCATGGATATATCATAATTTATTTGTCCATTGATGAACATTTAGATTGTTTCTACTTTCTGGTTCTTAT